GAATTTCCCGGCCATAAGCCCATCGCCCCCATTTTCATCAAAATAATGGGAGGGGTAAGTAGGACCACTTGCCTGTTTACAACCATTTCCAAGGAAGTTAACTTTGCCAGTGCCCATAGAAACTTCCTTTCAATATCTCCATGGGACCGGAAAGAGGGGTTGGATTTCCCCCAAGCTCTCAACATGCACGTCCTGCCAGTTCACCGAAGACTTTTCCAACTACTGGACAGCCGTTATGTTCTTCCGTGCCAGGAATGGCACCTTTAAGAGAGTGCCCCAGATTGCCCAGAATGGTATGGAGGGAACCAACGGCGGCATGGTAAGTTTGTTGATGCGCATGCTGAAAGTTGCTAACATCCAATGTAGGTTGTTTACTACATGAGCGATGCCCTTTTCGACACAGCACAAAAGTCAAAGGTCACCGCCTTCAAGCCCGGCTTTCGCATGCTGGTCGGCGACCCATCATACAGCACGCGAGATCAAGCCAGAGACTGGCGCCAACTGACCTTTACCTGCATGGAGAGCCAGGCCAGCCGTGCCCCCGAGTACATCAGCTTCCCCCCAACTCCCTGCCGCGGTGGAATCATGGCGAACCATCGATTCCCGACTTGCTGGGATGGTGTCAACCTGGATTCTCCCAACCACAGAGACCATGTTGCCTACCCCGAGACAGGCACATTTGAGTCCGGAGGCCGATGCCCAGCTTCCCATCCTGTGCGGCTGCCCCAGATCTTGCTCGAAACAGTCTGGGACACACGTGCCTTTAACAACAAGGAAGACTGGCCTGCTGATGGCAGCCAGCCATTTTTCTGGTCGAGCGGAGATGGCAGTGGCTTCGCCAATCATGCCGACTACGTCTTTGGCTGGGAGGGGGACTCGCTCCAAAGAGCCATGGACGCGCACACCTACGTCAGCGCGCCCATGCTCAAGACTCAGACCATTGCACAGCAGAACAAGTGCACTGTTCGTGATTTCGTCAGAGAGGACTTTTCAGGATGTAAGTAAAGCCTTGTTCGCTTGTCATCTGATACTGACCGTATTATCATCAGGGCTCAAACAATTGCCGGGCGTTGCTATGTAGACGAGGGTACGCGAAGAACAGGGTGGCAGGGGGGGGGGCTTTACTGCGAGAACAATCATGTTTAAAGCACAGAAACAGTCCGTTGGTCTACCTAGTCTGGCTACCCTCCATGAACTAGTCTTACTCAGCAGCATATTAGATAGACATCTGGACGTCGAAATGCCTCATGCAGCTTGCCAATATTTCCAAGCCACACTGTCACATAATGCCCCCTATCGGAACGCCTAGGAGTCAGCCCGCATGACGCCAGTCGTCCGAGCTTTTAATGGCCCCTAAACATTGTATCAGGATATCCATGATCCATGATTTTTCCATCTGCTTCAGCATTGCGAACGCCATGGACAATACCACCACATGTAAAATATGTTTCCATCTCAACGTCAGTCTGCGAGAGGTTGATTCTGAACTGGTCAAGGCCACAGCCATCACCGGATGCGCAGGGTGTGGCTTGCTTTTGTCTATGACTTCACACTTCTTCCAGGAGCAGGTACTCGCTTTGGATTTACTGGTGGATTGTCCAGCATCACTTGAACCTCGAGGCCCTCTGCAGATCCATGTCAAAATTGCCAACAACAGCGTTCACGTCCTGGAGCTGTTTCGACACTCAAGCACCCGCGACAGGATTTGCAAGCGGGTGGAAGAGCAAGGAATAGGAATGGGTATTGGCTGGGCTAGACGGCTCGCCAACCATTCAGACTCTCCAGAATGTTGGTATCTAGCCAAGGAATGGTTGAATGAATGCCGAAAACACCACTCTGAGTGCTCTGGGCCTGCCAACCCCCAGCTTCCTACCAGAGTTATCTCTGCCCATCAGTCCACTGCAAACCCCAACCGCATCCAACTATGCACACCACCGTAAGGGTCTCGAGGAACGTACATTGCACTGAGTCATTGTTGGGGATGGTCTATGCCGACCAAAGTCAAGCTGACAGCAAAAACCTTTTCCATCTGGAAAGACGGATTTCTGCTGCACGATCTTCCTCAGACTTTCCGGGACGCAGTGAGGATAACAAGAGCCCTTGGTATACCATATCTCTGGATCGACACGCTCTGCATCATGCAGGACAGTCAAGAGGATTGGGCAAAAGAGTCATCGAGGATGGCTAGTATTTACACCAATGCAATCCCGACCATTGGCGCTGACCAGTTCTCGGATTGCCATGGTGGTATCTTTGGGGAGAGGATGGATCGGGACACGGAGGCACTGGCCGTCCAGTTGCCACTGACGACACAGTGCTCCTCGGACTGTCAGTGTTGTACAATATATGCAAGGAGACATCGAAGCAGGAGCTATCCATTTCTCAGCCACGCCGCGGACTCGGATATCGAATCTACCCGCGAGGTTCCCGTCACCAGATCGCTCACATCCGGATTACATTCGCGTGGATGGACCATGCAGGAAAGGCTGCTTTCCAAACGCATGCTGCACTTGACTCCGTTTGAAATGGCCTGGGAATGTACCAAAGAGGTGTCTTGCGAGTGCCGACTCTGGGGTAGCGTCCCCAAGCAGTTCCTGGTCTTTCGCAGGGCATTTGTCTACCCCATCAATAAGTGGACAGAGACCGAATGCCAACACCAAGTCGAAACGGGACATGACAACATGTTGACACAGATACACGGTCCGCTCGTCCAGGAAGCTCGGGGTAACATGTCCAGTATTGTTCACTTACACTGGCAGCTTGTTGTTCTTGAATTCTCGGCCAGGTGTTTGACCGTTGAGACAGACCGGCTCACAGCACTCGCCGGAATTGCCGACCGTCTCTGCCGTGTTACTTCGCAGCAATACTATTACGGAATCCTCTCTGATCATGCGGTTCGAGGACTGCTTTGGAGACACAAACCAAATCCAAAACGCAAGCAAGCAAGCCACCGTTTGCCAGTGGGCTCAGCTCCATCATGGTCTTTTGGGTCTGTTGCCGGGAAAGTCGGTTTGTACCGAACCCCGAGAGGTTTACGCTTCTCGTCTCTTCTGCAACGATACACCATATTTCGAGACAGCTGGCGTCAGAGAACCCTTATGGCTCAGGTAGGGGCGCAGTGGATATCACGGGAGTTTTGGTGAAGATTGTGGTGGAGGATGAGAAAAATGGCAAATGTGGAAAAGATGGATCCCTTTCTTTTACAGTCGATGTCATGGACACAGAAGCAAAGTGCAAGGTACGAGGATATTTTCAACCAGACGTGGAAGATCATGGGACAGAAGGCTATCAAACTGCTCCAGCCTACTTGTTAGTCCTGGGGCATTGTCGCCATTTTCGCAAAGAAGGGGAGCAGACTCTTGGAATTGTTATACTTGAAGCGGGAGAAGAAAATGGTCAGCCAGCGTTTCGTCGTGTGGGCAATTTCTCTGGGCGGTGTGGTCTGATTGGAAGGAATATGAAACGGTTGTGCTGGACGGGTTACAGCACATCCCGGCGTATTTTGCTCATATAGAACGGGAGTATTTGAACCGCTGAAATTGCAATGTCTCGATAACCCCTTATATCCATAACCCCTGTGTGGTCTACATACAGACTCATCTCTGACAATAGGATGCATGTGAGTTATCCAACCATTAGTTTGGTCCAATCTATCACCCTCAATGGGACAGCTTCACATGCTTAGCCATCTGTCAGCAGGTGTGTAAGCATAAACGAGAGCGCCACCAACACCACCTTCAGACTTGGTGTTTTGACAGAATCCGTCTGAATTAGATAGGGACTTTGGCAAACGAGCATGTGCCAACTCTCTGATTGGTCTGTTGATTGTTGACAAATATCAAAGTTAGCAGATCCTGCAGTTTGAGAGGCTCGCAACTCTTGCCGTGGAAACTGTTTTTGGCATTGCTATTGCCTTACAAGGGATAGCAACCTTGTGCTAATGCATGTCAGCCATATGCATGACTACCCCACACCAAATCTCTGCTACATGCAGGGACCAAAGCGGAGATGCAGTGCAGAGGTTCCCACGAATGGTCTTGCGTCCCAGGGAAACGGCATAGACTATAAAGCCAGTGGCCTGTTGTTGAGATGGTTAGAGTAAGTTACGTCCAGAAAGAAGAATACCTAATCATGGGGTTGCGGTGACCTTGTGGCTGAACTTTCCGTCGTGCAAGCCATGCCGTCTTCATTGATTTGCTAGGTTTGGTTCTATCATACGAGGGAGAAATTTGATGGAGCCGAATCTGCGGGATCATGGCGGTGACGGAGGGGATAGGAGGCAGAGTTGGGGACTATTCTAGTTTAGTCTATGCCAGACTATACAAAACCTCAGGTTGCATCAAGGCGTGAATATTGGATGACTACCTTACAAACGTGAATAAGCTGCCTGCATTGTGAAACTGTGTGTCATGGACTCTAGTGGTTCCTGTAGGTGGTGTGTTTTTTGCAAGCCTTAGACTAGGTAGGTTTAGAGACTGTGAATTGTTGGACATTGGATCAGCTGCCTGCATCTTGGCTGTAGCCTCTGCATCCGAATAATCACATAGGTATGCAGGAATGATCAATATTGATCTCAGAAAGGCAACACTTCAGCGCAGGACCATCGGTTCAAATAACTACTTGTAGAGGTCTAAGGAGGATACCGGTATTTGGCTGGGAAAAACTATAAATGGAGACAGTTCTCACGTCTTGCTCCTCAACCCATCATCAGCAACATTCTCGCCTTATCACAAATCTTCTATCCAGTCTCACCAACATGAAGGCTTCAACTCTCTTTAGCGCCTTTGCCGCTCTGGCAAGTCTTGTTGCTGCCGCCCCCGCCCCAGGTGTTTCTCCTGTCGCCAATGCCGCACGCGGTCTTGAACCTTCACCGCCCCCTTTGTCGTATGAAAAGGTCACTCCCATCACCGATGTTGATGAAGTTGCCGCTGTCAAGAGGGAGATGTATGTTGACCAAGATTTTGCATACCGATGCAGCTGACAATATGCATACAGTGAGGCTCGCCAGGGTGTCTATGTGACTGTCCACATCTACTGGGGCGGAACCAGCGCATATATCAGCCCAGTCAATCGCGGAGCCTGTGCTGACTTGGTCCCCGCCTGGAAAAACGTCATCTCGTCCTTCGGACCAGACTCACCCCTTGTGTGCTGGATCTACGAGTAAGTTCCCATTGCCCAACACTTGAAGAATGAAGCTGAGACAACAATTCCCAGTGGCGACTGGTGCACTGGAGATTGGTACGGACCTATCTACAATCCTGGTATTGCAGACTTGACGACTGTTGGGTGGAATGATCGGATCAACTCCTTCATTTGTTGGTAGAGAAACGGGAAAGGCAAGCTTTGCCTTCGTCATGTTGCAACAGAAAAAGAGTGAATGATATGTGGGAACCGTGGAGTAAGATCAGGTGGTTTTGGAGCGCAGTGTGACTGACGGGCTTTTCTTATTCAACTCTCGTTTTTAAATTTGTTACCAGGATCTGCAGTTTCTTTAGCTCTCTGAGAATACAATACCGGTTGATGTTCTCATTTACCACGATGGTTATGATTAAGTTGAAATTGATGTACTGGGATGTTATACTTTCCCCATGGCAAGACTTGAACACACTCACAGTCCATTCACTATGTTATGCTCGTCTATGGTTTGTCTAATTTATGATCTCTGTGCGAGGAATCCCATCCCTAAAGTTCTTTACGCCGTCAACAGGCCTAGACGGTTTACGCCAGTCTCTGCATCAACCCCCGCAGTCACCCTCTCCCAGGTGTCCGCAGATGTATACTTTCCAGCTTGAGTGTCCGGCTTAAAGATTCCATGACATCCGTGCGGCACCACCAGCGCGCTGTCCGGCTCTTTTCAACATAACGAAACGATGACAAGACATGAATGGCACTTTTCCGTTTTCTCTGCTGCCACTTCCGAGCGATCCTCTTTCTTATCGTCCAATAGAAGCCACCTCATTGCTTGACCGGGGAGTAGCTTGGATTTGGCCGTGTCCTATCAGTTATTCTCCGATGGATTGTAGTACAATCCGTTAAGAAACGCACCAAACAAAACGCCCCACTTTGGAAACAGGGGGTAGGATCCGTTGAGAATTCAGTTGTACGATCCGATGAGATCTTTCTTACTAAAATGAAAAAGAAAGATATTATTAGAATCGCCTGAACGAACTGCACAGAATAATATAGGATGTATTGTCGTACGAGCGGTGTGGAATAGTAAATAGTAAATATAAAGTTGGGTGTAAGTATGCTAGTAGTATACGTGAATAGTAGGGTAAGTACGATCCGTTAAGAATTCAGTTATACGATCCGATAAGATCTTTCTTACTAAAATAAAAAAGAAAGATATTATTGGAATTGCCTAAACGAGCTATATAGAATAATATAGGATGTATTATTATATAAGCGGTGTAGAATAGTAAATAGTAAATATAAAGTTAGATATAAGTATATTAGTAGTATATGTAAATAGTAAAGTAAGTACGATCCGTTAAGAATTTAGTTATACGATCCGATAAAGTTTTTTTTATTAAAATAAAAAAAAATATTATTAAAATTACTTAAACGAGTTATATAAAATAATATAGAATATATTATTATACGAGCGGTATAGAATAATAAATAGTAAATATAAAGTTAGGTATAAGTATATTAATAATATACGTAAATAGT